TGTAGTTTATATCTACTAAATTATTTTAATTAATGCTACAAATACGTTATTTTTTTCTTGTCACTTGTTGACTTTTATTTTTTTGAGCTAAACTGTAATTTTGTTTCATTAAATGCCATGCCATCGTACCACATTATCATCTATTTTATCATTTAATGGAATTTCTAAGAGATAACAAAGGTGATGAACAGAAGCACATTAAAAGAAAGGTCAATGACTAAATTTACAAGTTTAGAAAGACAGTGACTAAATTGAAAGTTATGATAAAGGTGAGTGACTATTAGTGTAGTTTACCTAAATAAGAATTGCAAACCTGGCAGAGAATCCCCTATTTGGGAAACCCTATTATTTGCATTCCAGCTAACCCTATTATTTGCGGTACACCTTCTACAACTGTGGCTCTCATAATTTGGGAATCTGCAGTAGGAACTCTAAATCTTTTATCTACAAGTTCTATTAAGAGTTAGAATAAAAAAAATTCAAGATGCGTATTAAGAGGAAAATTCGTCAAAATTTGGAAATTCTACCCAAATACAGTAAGTTTTTATAGATGTTTGTCACTAGTTTATTGTCTTTTATCTTTATCTTTTGTCTATACAATTCATATGATCAATTAGTAGGACTGAATGCTCTTGTTTCTGTTTTGGGCCATGCATCTTTATTCTATGTGTGGGAACCTTGTGTTTAAATTTGCAAAACTGCTTCTGTGGGTCATGAAAGCTTGACGACCATTGCTATATATATTTCATGATATTTAAATATTTTATTTTATAATCTAATTCTTTGTGAATTATAAATAATTTTGTTTTCTAGTTAGTTGCATATTTTGATATTTTTATCTTGCTTTGTATTGTGATGGTTTTTTCTTCACCATATGTTTCACCTTTCTTTTCTTTTCTCTTTTTTTTGTTTTTTAATAGGTGAGAACTTTGAATATCTTACAATTGAAATGCACCATGGGGGAATTTCAGTCTTGGGAACAGTCAATATAGAGGTGGTGGAATAAACTTTGTGCACTATTGTAGCGTTGATGAAATGTCACCCCTGGAGCTTGAGGACATCATAGAAAAACTTAGCCACAAAGATGGAGCTAATATGGTTTTCTTGTGGTTAATGCCCGGTCTGAAACTTAATAATGGTCTAAGGGTGATTGAAAACGATGCCGATTGTATGGAAATGGTGAGTCATTTGCCTGAAAATAGAAGCATATGTGTCTATTCTAAGAGGAAAAAGAATGAAGAAACAACTGGAGATTTATTCACTACGTCCAAATTGTCATTTATCTACACACAAAAACTATAACTAAAACTCCAAAAAAACATAGCTATAGCCCTTCTAAATACTATAGTTACACATTAGATAACATAATTACTGTATTATGTAACTAAAGATAACTAGTTACGTTTACAATCATATTATTACAATTTTTAAATGCATAGGTATAGACTTTAGAGAACCTATACCTATATTTACAAAATCGTATGTAAAAAAAATTCCTACACATTAATTGTAGGTAAAAACAAATGACAACAACAAAATGTGGTTTAGATATCATCATTTAACATTAATATTTGTTATTACTAAATATATTATCTAATAATACTATAAGTTGTAATAAAAAATATTATATCATAACAATCTTATTGTATATAAAATGAATATTTCATAACAATATTTATTATTACTAAATATATTATTGTAAAACCACATAAATTGATGCAAAATAGTGCATCTTACAACAATCTTATTCGTATTTAAAACTAATATATTCTAATGGTATTTATCATCACCAAATATATGATATAATAATATTATAAGTTGTAACAAAACTCATTATCTAGTAACAATTTTCAATCGTTTTATAAACTAAAATTTATCAGTAATAATAGTCATTGATAAAAGTGATATATAATAACAACTTTATTTATTTTGATTACTTATTTTAACTCCTTTATCAATCAATTTTAAAAATATAATATCCTAAAAAACAAGTTATTACCTAAAATTAAATTTTCTAATAACATATTTCGTTATAAAATATATTGCTTGATAACAATACTAGTTCTTATTTAAATTAAAGTTTTCCAACAATAACTATTTGTTATGCAAAGAAAGTTTGCTAACAGGAAAAAATATTGTTGTAAAAAATTAATTAAGTAATTATTTTAATTGTTTCTAAATATGTATTTTTACATCATTTCAATCATTGTTAAAAGGATAGTGATTTGTACATCTTATATTTCAACACCCTCCAGTTTAGTTATTAAAAAATCATTATTTTTTAGGCTGAAATTAAAAACAGACAAGTACAATAATACAATCATGTACACAAGATATAGAAACCAATTGAATTAACTGTATTTATATTATATTTTTAATAATTAAACCAAAAAGTATTAAATCGGGTGTTAAACCAAAGAATACTGAACCGAATGTTGAAACGGAAGGTGTACCAAACATTTCCCTTGTTAAAAAAGGTATTTCTTTATAATGAGAGTTATTTTGTAAAATAGTGTTCGAAACCACTTTTTACTTGTCATAAAGTGATTCTATCAATGATATTTAATATTGAGCAATATCTTTTTTCATAATAATAATTATAGTTCTACATAAAAGTATTACTTTATGATGGGCTAATTCCACTCTAGCAAGTGTACTAGTCAATTCAAGTAATATAATGATGAAAATAGAGTATCGTCCCATAGAAACTGTAGATCAACTAAGTACCAAAATTAACTAATTCTAATTTTATTTGAACAAATGAAATTAAATGATTTGACTAAACTAAATAACTAAACTAATTAACGAAAAACTAAATTAACTTTAAGTAACATCAAGAGTTAAAATTCTAACGTATCTAATTTCACCATAATCAACTAATATAAAATTTAGATTAATATACTTCCAAGGTATTTATTATTTATGTAACAGCGGGATTTCCTATCCTATTTAATATACTTTCTCAAGTTACACCAAACCTATCTTCACTTATTAACTCCCTATATCTCTATGTGAATTTAAATAGATAAAGATGCATTATATTCTGTGAAATTCCCTAATTTACATGAAAAATTAAGTCCACTTATCACTAATGCTACACAAATCACGTTGATCCATCTCTGGCTTTCGTTCAATTTATGGTATATATTACTAGAAACTATTGCATAAAATCTCTTCTTGGTCTCAATTATGCTCTCCAAATCAATTTTAATGGTGGTCAATCATTAAAAAACATTAAAAACAATAATATATACTCTACATAAAATAATACAATGAGTTAGATTTCTTCCTCCTCCAACTCTATATTAACGAGTTCGATTTCTTCTTCTTCCTCCACAATTTCCCCCGCTGCATCTATATCAACCTCCCTCATGATTTCATCAGCTGCATTCTCATCCATTGACACAATTTCAGAGACGAACACAGGACCTATGGCAGATCGAATAGAGGAGATAGTGAGAAAGCAAAAAGGCACTATGCAGGATGCACTTGACAAAGCGATATGGCCTCCTGCGTGAAGGATGAAATGGGTTCTTATAGACTTTAGGTAAAGACAGCTATTCATTAGAATTTTTTTTTTTTTTATAAGGGCAATAGTTAGTAGGTTAGTATTGTTAAAAGTTAACAACTAAGGATTCGATCTCCAAATTTAGTAAACAACCCACCGACCTCAATAAAGTGCGCGGCCATCAGGTTAGCTTGACGGAGTTCTCTATTCATTAGAATTTGATGCATTCCCAGTTAGGGAGAAAAGAAAGGGGCCCTCTGAAAAGTTCTGCAGTGTGAGATATAGAAAGTCTATTGCGTGAAGGATAATTCTTGTCGACTTTAGGTAAAGACAGCTATTCATTAGAATTTGATGCATTCCCGGTTAGGGAGTAAGGAAAGGGGCCCTCTGAAAAGTTCT